GCGGGCCGCGGCGCCGGGCTCCATTTTGCGCTTCCTGCCGAGAACCCAGGCACCCGGGCACCGGAAGTGCCCCGTCTACGCTGCCCAATCGCAGTTCGTGGACTTAGAGTAACATCTGGAAACGATCCGGGTAGGCTGTGGCCGGGGGTTCCGAGCCGCTGCTGCGCGGGAGAAGAGCGGGTTAGCACCACCGGAAGTGCCCCGGTTGGAGGCGGACTCTCTGAATCCTATTGGCGGAAGGGGCGTGAGGTTCCGCCCCCCCAAAGGAAAAGGCTCAATCCTAGAAAGACAGCTCTGCGACCGCAGCCAATCAACAAGGCCGAGCGCCCTTAGGCTCCGCCCAGGCCGGACTCCCGCCGGGAGCCCAGATCCCGCCTCCTCATCAGGCGGGCTTGTCCCTTACGGGACCTGGAGAGGTTGTGGCCACTTGGAACCGCCTCCTCGGTGCTCCCTGGCTGTGTCCTCACTGGCCCAGGACAGACTCGGGACTAGAAACCAGGCCCCATCTCTATCTCCAGGGAGGAAAGGGTTGGAAAACTAAGATCAGGGCTAGGATACTTTGAATCTCCTGTCACTAATGGACCCAGCGGCCTGGGTACAGGCCTGACCTACCAGGCCTGGTGGCCCATGCTGGAGGCAGCTGGATAGGCGGCGAACTGGCTTCCCGATGAAAACGCTGTAGCTGGGTTCATTTCTCAGCTCCGCCTCTCACTACCCCTGCTGCTGGGGCATTTCACTTCTCTCCGGGCCACTTTCCTAGGCTGGAAATAGTAATAATAGCGAGGCTCAGCCCTCCCACTTACCTGCGTGCCTTTGGAAAAGCTGAGCTCGTGGGAGCTCAGGGGCAGGTTTTGAAGCACTTCGTGCCGAGTGTGGCTCAGCCTCCCCTCAGTAATGCTAGCTTCTAAATTGATGGGGGGCACCTGGCTCACCTCAGCCCCACCACGGGTCTAAGTAAAAGCAGCTCCAAGGCTGGGTCCCAGCCACAATCCTGGGGCAAATAGCGATGGTGGAGACAAAAGGCAGCTGTTCTTTTCTGACCTTTCACACTTGCCCTCCCAAAAGAATGTGGGGGCAAAAGTCAGAACCTCCCTCCTTCCATCTCCTTAACTGAATCTACCTCCTCTCCATCTCCGCTGGTTCCACTGAGAGTTAAGCCTCACCCCCACCCTGGGCGTCCCAGCCCAGCCCTCCTACCCTTCTGCATACAATGCCACATCCGATCACCTTGAACTCAGACCTGATGATGCCTGTAGGTGGCTTAGGAGTCCCACTGCTCAGGGTCACCCAGGGCTCCTCACGCTCAGGTCTCCACTGAAACTGAACTCAGCAACCTCCTTCTCCGGCTCTGCTCAGGACTATCCATGCGGTGAGTCTCCAACCTTTAACACACTCAGCTTCCCCACTCGCCTTTGCGCACACGGCAACCACGCCCACCCCGGCCATTCCCTTCTTAAGCCTCCCAGGATCTTCTGCGTCTTTTATGGTAGCTCCACCCTTCACAAGGATGCTTTTCCCCCCATAAAGCCCTGACCTTTCTTCCTCTCAATGGTGTACTGCAGCCTGCCTCTGGTTAAACTCATCTCCGGTTACCAGAGCACCTTCCACCCCAGCTTCTCCAGGGCATGAGCTCCTTCGCCCAGGCACGTGGCTTGTGGGACCCACCACACTAATTAATGCAAAATATGGAGGAGAACGAAGGAGGGGGACTAACGCAGAGCACCTGCTATGTACCGGGAACGTCACACATGATCTCATTTAACCTTCACGATACCCCTGGGAGGCAGGTGTTCCCCCTCTCGCAGATGGGGCCCAGAGTGCAGTGAGGCCCATCTTCAACCCAAAGCCAAGACTCTTCCCTGAGATTGTGGGGCCCTCCCGCAGGGCAGGCCTGGGATACAATGAGCAAAGGGAGGGATGTAGCCTCAACCACTGGGGCGGCCTGGGTTCATTTCTGGCCATGTCAGGGCATCCGGTTCCAGCACAGCCCCCGAGGACTGTCAAAACGTGGCCTTCTTCTGGGTTTCGGCAAGACACCACCTCTGGTTTCCAAAACAAGGTCTCTGCTCTCCCGAGCCACGGATCCTCTGAGACTCTAATGACAGTTCGGATGCTCTCCCCAGAAAAATGTGCTTGTACTCATGAGTGCAGGGAGTTGCAGAAGCCCTGGAGCCCGTTTGTTTTAAAGGCATCAGGTAGTTAAGAAACCCTGCTCCAGGGGCACCTGGGTGGCTCAGTTGGTTAAGCGTCTGACCCCTGATTTCGGCTCAGGTCGTGATCTCGCAGCTCCCAGTGAGTTTGAGCCCCACGTCAGGCTCTGCACTGACAGTGTGGAGCCTGCTTGGGATTCTCTCTGCCTCTCCCCTGCTCACTCTCTCTCTCTCAAAAATAAATAAATAAACTTTAAAAAAAAAATTTTTTTTTTTAAAGAAAGAAACAAACCCTGCTCCAGAAAGAGCTTCCCTGTGAAGGCCAGGCCGCAGTGGCAGGAGGGGCCCCGGTGACACTGTCAGAGGGTCGGGGAAGGGGAGCTCATCGGTAAAAGGCAGTTTATTGGGGCAGCTTCATGCGGGGCAGCGTCCTCTAGGCCACAGACCGGCCGGGAGAGGGCAGCGTGGCACAGCTGCCCCAGGACTCCCGTGCCCATGCTGCCCAGCTTCCCCCCAGGAAGGCAAGGGGAGGAGGCACCATCGTCCATCTCCAACACACTGTCCTTGATCCATGCGGAAGTGGCTCCCCACTCTGTCGGGGCTGCTGGTGAAAGCCTTGAGGTTTCTGAGCCCATCGAGGCACGGAGGAACACTGGCAGGCTGTGGCAGGTGGAACACTGGCGAGGCATGGACAGCCCGAGCGCACCTCTGCGGGGGTGGCCCAGCCTCCCAAGTGCTCATGGTCTGGGCAGAGGAGGCTCTCTGGGTAACAGGGAAGGGAAAGCTCTTCCCAGGGCAAGGGGCCCCCTGGGCTCCCAGACACCGTGGGGGGCAGGTGGGAGGAGGCCTGGCTGGGGCTGCCCTGGGAGGGCCTGGCAGTCTCTGGGAAGCTCAAAGGCAGGGCAGCAGCAGGAGGCCAAGTTCACAGAGGCTCACTGCCGAAGCTGCTTTTGCTTTTCTTACGCTTGACCTTGGTGAAGGGGATGTCGAGGGACTCGAGGCGGAAGGGCCGGGGCTGGGGCATTTCGGGGGCCTGGGTGGGCACGATGGCCGCGGTGTTGTTGAGTGGGGAGCTGAGGCCGGGGGGAGAGCTGTGATGCGCTGTGGAGAAGGGAGCAGAGGAGCAGGTAAGTCAGGGGTACGGAGAGGGGGAGCCCTGCCCGTTCCACCCAGCCGGAGGCCTGGTCCCACAGCTGGGCCTCCGAAAGGCTCTGGACCAGGAGTGTGGAGTTTTAAAGGCTCAGACCGAGGCAGCCTAGGACTCGAGCCAGACAAGCCTGTGTTCAGAGCCCAACTTTGGGGAGCGACTTCTCCCAGAGCCTTAGTTTCCTCATCTGCAACATGGACACAATGCCGGGTCCTCAACTGATGTTCATTTGTATCCTGGGCCATTTTCCCCTTCCTGTTCCTCAACTCTGCTGGATTCCACCTCTTCAGTAGTCTCAGTGCAGGACTGAGATTTGCTTTTCATTGATATTTTATTAGAAACTGTGGTCTTTGATTTTGGTTTTAGAAATGAAAGAACCAAGTGATTTGCAATCCTTGCTTTTAAAAGTGTTTCACCTTGGTGGCCCTGCCTGCCCCCTTTGGCTCAATGGGAGAAAGCCACCACACCGGCATCTGCAGAAGCCAGTGAGCAGCTGAGCCAGACCCGTGCAACACGTGCCAGGGCACCGAGCCACGTGTCACAGGCCTGCTGGGCATCGGGGGGGCACCAAACTCTCAGCGGTCCGCCAAGAGATGGAGGGGGACAGGAAGAGGGAGGCTGTGCGTTGAGCACGTACTACGTGCCAGGCCCGGGGCTGGGCTGCTTGCCCACCTCATTTCACCTAAGCCCCGAGAAGTAGGTATACCCAACTCAGTGCACAGCTCAGGAAACTGAGGCTCAGAGACGGGAAGGGGTTTTTAACCCGGGCCTGACGCCACTCCACCCATCACGTGACTCCCAGTCGGCAGAGGACCAGGAAGGGCTCTCTCGGGGAGCAGCTGGAGGACAGGAGGTGGGCAGGGCACTCACCGAGGCTCTTCATGAGATCCGTGCTGAGGATCTGGCTGGCTCGCTTGGACCGGAAGTAGTTACTGGCAATGTTTTCGCTGTCGCTGCGACTGAGCATCAGCTTGTAGCGGTCTTCCTCCTGCCGAGATTCCAGATCCTCGTGGGTCAAGACCCCTTGTTTGTATAGTTCTTACCTCTGCAGGCCCGGGGGGCTGGGGGCTGCCCTGAGCCTCACTGCCCACACTCCTGGGGTGGGGTCCAGGCAGCTCAGGCCAGGAGAACCACAGCTCCAGCCAGAGCTACCCGACCCCCCTTCCTTGGTATGGGAAGTGCCTTGTTCTCCGTCAGGGGCAAGGGCAATGCCATAGCCCCAACCTGTCTCGGCACATTCACAGAACAGGTAATACAGTACTCAGCCCATGGTCCCAACCTCTTATCATCAAGGACTGTGATTTGTCACCACTATAGTGGACTTGTTTTCCTCAGCCTGAATCTCTTCCTTCAGGGACTACCCTTCTCCCCTTTGGCATGGTCCTGCTGAGGCGATCATTCATAGCACCCTAATACCACCGCTCCCTCTCGTCCACCCCCTTGCTGCACAACTGGGCATGTGACCCAGACCGAACCAGTCACAGAAATACATCTTCCAGGGGCGCCTGGGTGGCTCATTCGGTCAAGCGTCCGACTTCGGCTCAGGTCATGATCTCACAGTTCGTGGGTTTGAGCCCCACATCGGGCTCTGTGCTGACAGCTCAGAGCCTGGAGCCTGCTTCCGATTCTGTGCCTCCTTCTCTTTCTGCCCCTCCCCCTGCTCACACTCTGTCTCTCTCTCTCTCTCAAAAATGAAATAAACATTGGGGCGCCTGGGTGGCTCAGTCAGTTAAGCATCCGACTTCAGCTCAGGTCGTGATCTCATGGTTCATGGGTTCAAGCCCCACGTTGGGCTCTGTGCTGGCAGTGGGGAGCCTGCTTGGGATTCTCTGCCTCCCTCTCTTTCTGCCCCTCCCCCACTAGTGTGTGTGTGCTCTCTCTCTCTCTCTCAAAAGTAAGTAAACATTAAAAATACTTTTTTGGGGGGTGCCTGGGTGGCTCAGTCGGTTGAGTGTCCGACTTCAGCTCAGGTCGTGATCTTACAGTTCATGAGTTCAAGCCCCGTGTCAGGCTCTGTGCTGACAGCTCAGAGCCTGGAGCCTGCTTTGGATTCTGTGTCTCCCTCTCTCTCTTCTCCTCCCCTGCTCACATGCTGTCTCTCTCTCTCAAAAATAAATAAAGATTAAAAAAAATTTTTTTTTAATACAATTTTTTTTTTTCCTGGACATAGTCATTGGTCTAAGAGCAGGCCCCTCACCCAGGCCGACTGATCAGAATCTTCCCACAAGTGTTGGTTAAGATGTGGTAAGAGACTGGGTCTCTTCCTCTTGGATCACCCATCGCCAGTGGCCACCTTTCCTGCCACGTAGCCAAAGCCTGCCTGAGTCTGAAGCTAACATAACAAGGGAAGCAGAACCAAGAGGTGGAGAAACACACAGAAAAGTGTGGTGCTTCACAGGGAAGTTTTCTGACCTCTGCTTTGAGGAGGTACATTTCTGTTGTCATACAAAACGTGGGAGATGGGGCGCCTGGGTGGCGCAGTCGGTTAAGCGTCCGACTTCAGCCAGGTCACGATCTCACAGTCCGTGGGTTCGAGCCCCGCGTCAGGCTCTGGGCTGATGGCTCAGAGCCTGGAGCCTGTTTCCGATTCTGTGTCTCCCTCTCTCTCTGCCCCTCCCCCGTTCATGCTCTGTCTCTCTCTGTCCCAAAAATAAATAAACGTTGAAAAAAAATTTTTTTTAAAGATTATTAGAGAATTTTTTTTAATTCTCTTTTTTTAATTTGGACACAAGGTCAAGATCAGCAACAAGCTCTACAATCCAGTGATGATACCAGATCCAAGGACCAAAGAAGCAGCCCAGTGCCCTATAGTAACGCTCACCCACTGCACGGTGGGGACGAAGCCCCGCCAGCTCCCCACGCCTCGCCCCCTCTCACAGAGGCCTTACCATGCCTGCTTCACCGTTGTCTGCGGCAGAGGTTTTGCGGACAACCTTGTTCTGTGGCCCTGTTGGAACTGCTATGAGAAACAAAAGCCCAAGTCACTGCTGCCCGGTCTGAGTGCCAGAGGGACAGGGTGGGTGGCAACAGGTCCCCGAGCTGGCAGGTCAGGCCTGGCTCAGGCCCGGGACCAGGGGAGTACACTTCCCAGCCCGAACCAAGGGATGACTTTGGGAAACAGACAATGGGAGGGCTCAGATGTCAAAGCAGCCACTCTCCTGCTTCTAACAGCACAGCAGGCTGGTGGGGGCAGGGGGAACCCCGGGAAGTGGAGCTGGCTGGCCTTCGGGCAGGGGTAGCGTCAGTGCCATCCATAAACATCAGGGATGCGGGACCTAAACGAACATTCTCTTGACGGCGGGGGAGGCCCGCTGGGGGCCCCAGGGGACATAAGACGCTACTGCTCCCTAAGTGCTCCCAGACTCATCGGAGGTGGAGGGGCCTTCCAGACCACCAGCCCCTCCTTTGTGAAGATCAGGGGCCAAGGCCCAGAGACAAACAGTGACCTTCATAAAGTCCCACAGGAAGTCAGTGGCAAAAGCACAAGGTGAGCCAGGCCTGGAACTCTGAACGGCCCGGTCCTATCCCCGGTCCTACAACTCCCTGCTCTGCCTGGGACTCTGGCTAAGTCACTCACTCTGAGATTCCGTCTCCCGAAATGTAAAATCTTTGTCCTCCGTGGGGTTGCTGGGGGATAATGCTGGGGGGCAATCATGACAGTGGTAGAATGTACCACGGGGGTGCCTGGGTGGCTCAGTCGGTTAAGCCTCCGACTCCAGCTCAGGTCATGATCTCACAGTCCGTGAGTTCAAGCCCCGTGTGGGCTCTGTGCTGACAGTGTGGAGCCTGGAGCCCACTTCCAGTTCTGTATCTCTCCCTCTCTCTGCCCCTCCCCTGCTCACATTCCTTCTCTCTCTCTCTCAAAAGTAAATAAACATTTTTAAAAAATGTATGGTGCACTTGGCACGTGCGCGCATGGCGCTAAGCGTTTTATGGGCATTAACACGTGTTAAGCCACCCAGCAATGTCTACGGAAGGTGCGGTCACTAATCCCCATTTCACAGACGAGGACACTGAGTCCCAAAGGGGTCACACGGGGCGTGGTGGAACCCGAATTCCAACCCACACAACTTCTCCCTCAGGCCCTCCATCGCTTTGGAGCCCGGAGCCCCGGGCCTGCTGCGCCCACAGCCAGCAGGGCGGGAGCCCGGGCTCCGGGTCAGCCTGCAGGAGGGCAAACCGTGGGGAGGAGCGAGGGGACGGCCAAGCGCCTGACCTACTGGGAGGCTGGTTTTTACGATGATGGGCTCAGGGATCTTCCAGAAGCCGTTGTCCTCATCCCAGCAGGACTCGCGCCGGATCTTCTCCAGGTTGCTGTAGTTGCAGTCGCGGCGGATGAGAGGCTGCACCTGCTCCAGGAGCTGCTGGAGGAGCAAAGAGTCCCGCTCCTGCCGGCGGATGGTGGCCAGGTAATCGATCTTTTCCAGCTCGAACTCCGACTGCAGGTCCTTGATTTCCACCTCCGCCGCCCGAAGCTGAAAGCAGGGGGTGACGATCTCGAGCAGGGAAGACAGCAAGCCCTTTTATCCACCCTCGGCACCCACTGCCCGAGCCTTCAGCCGGCCACCCGTCATCTGTTCGCCGATCCGCTCATCCACCCGCGCCCGCCTCCCGTCTGTCCACCAGCACTAAACGAGCACCTACTGTGTCCACAGCCCTAAAGAAAACAGGAAAGAAGTTGCTCCTTAGCCGCCCCCCCCCCCCCACGCCAGCCCTCGGAGACGACCCCACACAAACACATTTTATCTAGGAGCCTCTTAGAAGGCTCCACACATAACACTGCGGAGTCACCACTTCTTAAAAAGTCTCAGACTTGTATAAATCCTTTTCCTAAGGGGAGCAGAGCTGTAAACTCTCAGACTCAGTGCTCACAGTCAAGTTACGACGTGACAGACATTGGCTTGAGAGTCAGACCCATCCTGATTTGACCATGGATTCTAGACTTTTGTGATCTGCCCTGGTCACAGGTGACTCCCAGCTGCAACTATAACCATGCTCTCCCTGAGCCCCAAGATTCCTGGGTGCACGGTCTGTTTCCTTAAAGAGCAGGTACAGCTCGATTAGTGAAAGAGGATGTTTCAAATTCATGGGAATGGTCATCACATGTAACCAGTTGAAAGCAGAGGCTATCTGGTAGGACACAGGTGGGCAATTAATGCTCTATTTCTTGAGGCACCTGGGTGGCTCAGCTGGTTAAGCATCTGATTCTTGATTTCTGCTCCGGCTATGATCTCACAGTTCATGGGTTCGAACCCTGCGCCAGGCTCTGCACTGGCAGTGCAGAACCTGCTTGGGATTCTCTCTCTCCCCTTCTCTCTCTCTCTCTCTGCCCCTCCCCTGCTCCCCACTCACACGTGCTCTCTCTCTCTCCCTCTCAAAATAAATAAACTTCAAAAATATATTAAATCCATGTTCCAATCCATGAACATGGGATGTCTTCCCATTTAGGTATTCTTAATTTCTTTCAACAATGTTTTCTAATTTTTGGCATATAGTTTTACCCTTCTTTTGTTACATTTATTCTGAAGTAGTTTATTCTTTTTGATGTGTTATAAATGGAATTGTTTTCTTAATTTTATTTGCAGGTTGTTCATTGAGAGTATGTAGAAATATAATTGCTTTTTGCTTATTAATCTTGTATCCTGCAACCTTGCTGAAGTAGTTTGTTTGTTTGTTTTTTTTTTTAGTGGATTCCTTAGGATTTTCTACATAAGATGATGTCATCTGCACATAGAAATCCTTGTACCTATTCCCTTCCAAACTCAATGCCTTTTAAATCACTTTCTTGCCTAAGTGACCTAGCTAGAACCTTCAGCCTACTGTGAAATAGAAGTGCTGACAACAGACACCCTTGTCTTCTTTGTCATCTTAGGGGGAAAGCATTAAGTCTTTCACCATTGAGTATGATGTTTTCTGTGGATTCTTCATAGGTGCCCTTTATCAGAATAAAGAAGTTTCCTTCTAGTTCTAGTTTCCTTGGTGTTTTTATCATAACAGATGTTGGTTTTTTCAAATGCTTTTTCTGCATCTACTAAGATGATCATATGGGTTTTGTCTTTTATTCTATTGATATGGTATATTGCATTAATTGATTTTTGGATACCAAACTAACCTTGCATTCCTAGGATAAATCCTACTTTGGCATGATGTACAATCTTTTTACATGTTGTTGGATTTGGTTTGCTAGAATTTTGTGGAGCATTTTGTCTCTATATTTATAAGAAATATTAGTCTGTAGTTTTCTTGTTATGTCTTTCTATGGTTTTGTTATCAGGTGATACTGGACCTATAGAATGAATTAAGAGGTGTTCCCTTCTAGTTCACATGACTTTTTAAAGATACTTTTCAAAGCCCTAGTCTTCACTTTACAAATAAAATCCAGTGAGAAGATGTAATGGGAGAGGATACCCCACAGAGGAAAGCAAATACAAGAAAATATCTAGGTGTGAAATTAACAAGATTATGTTCAAAACCTAAGTGAGGAAATTTATAAAACACTCCTGAGTGACATAAAAATTGATCTGAACTAACAGAAGATATACCGTGTTCCTGGATGTGAAAATCCAAACTCATAAACATACCAATACTCTCAAGCTAATTTATAAATATAACATGATTCTGCCAAAAGTTTCACCAATTTTATCTTTGTTTCTCTTCATTTTTTTTAATGTTTTCATTTATTTTTGAGACAGAGCATGAGCAGAGAAGGGGCAGAGAGAGACGGAGACACAGAATCTGAAGCAGGCTCCAGG